TACGACACGGCGTATGTGTATATTTTTTAGATTTTTTTCTTATTCTTTTATACGCACACGAGCGTATGAAATAATGTATGTATACACGGTCAACGGGCTTGCAAACGTCTGTGTGTATGTATGGTTGAATGTGTGTGATATAAGAATTGAAATATGATGATTATATATGATTATAAATTGATGATAGTATGATAACAATATCATAATAATAATATAATAATCATAACAAGATAATGTTAACAACAATAATAATGATATGATGATGCTAATGATAATGATTATTGTGATTATTATTGCTATTATTCTTATTCAATCAGTCAAATCCTACGTCACCCAGGGAGATGCATAAGGCCTCTATACTATCATTATTATTATTATTATTATTATTATTATTATTATTATTATTATTATTATTATTATTATTATAACTGCAATTATAATAATTATGATAATTATGATAACAATAATGATAAACATAATAACAATGATTATGAAAACAACAACAATAACAATAATGATAGTAAGAGCAATAACAAGGATAATACTAACAATGGTAATGATAGCAAAAGGAATAGTTGTAATAATAATGATGATAATGATAACAATAATAATTATGATAAGAATAGTAATGCCGATGACAAAAATGATAACAACAGCAATAATAATGACGATAACAGTAATAATAATGATAATAATAAAACTACTAACCAATTATATATCTAGACCCACTCAATATTTTTTATGAAATATTCCAATCTAGAGAATTTTGAATTTAAAAAGGAGAAAAAGAAAGAGAAAGAGAGAAATAAAAACAGGTGATGATAATATCGAATTAAGTAGAGCAATTAAACGCTATAGAAGGATGGGGGGATAAAGAGAAGAAGGGAGAGAGACGGAAGAAGAAAAGGGGAAGAGAGGTAAGGAAGGAAAGGGAGAGGAGTAGAGAGAGTAAAAGGAGGGTGTGGTAAGAAAGAGAGGAAGAGAGGGGTAAGAATAAAAAAAAAAAAAAAAAAATAAGATAAAAAATAATAAGATAAAAAGGGAGAACCCAAAACAGAGAAGAGGGAGTAAGGGGAAATTCAATTAAAAAAAGGAAGAGGGAAGGAAACCAAAAATAGGTTGTAAGGGGTGAGAGGAATAAGAGGAGGAGGAAGAGAAACTGATGAAAATAGAAAGAGGAAAACAGAAGAAAATTCAGGAAGAAAAGAAGGGGAGAGCAAGCAAGCAAGTGTGGGGGGAGGGGAGGGGGAGGGTGGGGAGGGGGGCAAGTGTGGGGGAGGGAGGGGGAAGGGAAAGCCACGGTTGGGGAAAAAGGGAGGGGGGGGGGGAACCTTGTCATTCATTGAAGAAGATGGT